ATAAAGATAGAGATAATGGATACTGGGCACTCCAAAATGGTTTCCAGGAGTTGGAAGGGAGGGGAGCGTTAAGAATTATCACCTGGGTACAATGTTCATTCTTTTTCTGATGGGTACACTAGAAACCCAGACCTCACCATTACACAATATATTCATGTAATAAACATGCACATGTACCCTGGAATCTAAAATTTAAAAAGCAAGTAGCTGAAAAGATATGGGGAAAAAAGAAACCTATTAAGATTTTAATTGGAATTGCACTAATTCTATAACTCAGTTTGAGGAATATTGATAAATTTTTTACAGAGAGTTATTTCCAAATATTTCCATTTATTTAAGTATTATTTAATGTTTTCAATAAAATACTTAATTTCTTGCATAAAGGGCTTCTACGTATTTTTTATTGGCACTCTGTCAATTGAAAACACATCAAATACATTTTCTGATGGAATATGGTAAAGATTTTTGATTTTGTGTTGCATGTCAGATTTCTCTTCTTTTGTTTCATCAAACCTTTCTTGTTCTAATAACAAAAATACATTTAGGATTTTCTTTGTAAACAAGCACTTTATTAAAAATATACAGGGTTTTGTCTCAACTTTTCAATTATTACAGATTTTATTTTATTTTTTTAACTGCACTGATTAGGACTCCAGTACAATCCTAAACAGAATGGGTAATAGCAAGCATTTTCGTTTGCTGCTGGTCTTATTAAAATTTATCTCAGTAAGTACAAGAGCCTTGATATTTTTTCTTTTTACATTAAGAAAAATAGATGTCTTTTAAAAGATTAAGCATTTTCCTTCTAGTTTGCTAAGAGTGTCTATCATACATTGACCTTAATTTTATTAAATGAATAGTATCTGCATGTACTGAGATGTGCTCTAGTATCAGATTCACTGTCCTTTAATCTGTAAATGTGGTAAATTACAATAACTATCAATCAAATTAATTAATTCAGCTAATTACCTAATGGAAGTTCTATAACTCTGAAGAGTTTTCTCCATCACACTGTAATTTCTCCAAAACTGCTTGAAATTCAGAATGGAGCTGAATTATTGAACTTCACATATTACCTAGTACTTTGAAGAGCAATGAGGCTTATGTAGATATAAATATAAGTAATATTACATTTATATATATTTTACTTTCTTATTTCTACTTTCATAATGTTGCTTTTCAGCTATCAATGACTTAAGCAAAATTTTTAAAGCTTGCTGCAGGTCTTATCTTTGGCTTCTGTTTCTCATACCCCACCTTTCCACCAGCTCTCTGAGTACCCCTCGGAACACAGGAGTCCCCTGCTTGCCAGGACACTATAGTCACTGACATATGTTTCACACTTCCATTACCTCTAAATGTACTTTTCATCCTCCCTAAAAGCTTAGGTTAATTGACCTTACTTTGTTAACGAATGTATTAGTTTATGATATGCTAGCCATTATATTGCTTTTTGATAGAAACATAATAGCATCATACAGTTATTATTAGCAACACCTCTGGAAAACAAAAGCATTTTTTTTTCTGTAAGTTGTGAACATGTTGGTAGACAAGTTAAACCTTTTCCAAATGCTATTTGTTCCAACTTTTTCTTTCTTGTAAATTTGTAAATAATGCAGATGTCTACTGCCAAAGGACAATGTATTCAATCCATCAGTTAATGAACATTTGTTGTGACAAACTGAACTAGTCATTCAGACAAAAAAGGCGAAGAACACAGTCTCTTATAAAGAAATCCTAACGTAGGGAGGGGACAAGTTTCAGATGTGTTCAGGGGACAAATTCCAAATGTTACGACAGATTTTGGTATATATATGTGTGTGTGTGGTATGTGGCCACTAGTCACTTTGTTCACGTGTAGCTGAAATTCCTTGTTCCTAAAGTGAATATTACCTTCTAACTATAATCTCTGTAAATAATTCCCCAGGTCCTGGCATACTGGGTAATTAAGCAGTCTTCAGATTTTTAATTTGTGGACTTTGCTAAGATGTGACCTAGGAAATGGCTGATAGAGATTTGACGTTAATAAACTATTAAATGTGCATGTTGAGATATTTTGGTACATATTAAAAGTATTTCGTGGAAAATATTTATCAGTTTTTGTTTATTTCTTGCTCAGAGAATGATGATGATGACTACTGATTTATAGCCAACGTAGGAAAATAGCTGAGAAAAAGTTAAAGAATATTTGAAACATGTATTCTCTCTTGTTTAGTATGGTTCATTTTGTTAAGTTTTGTTTTGCTTCATACTCACTATATGAAACTGGGTTGCCTGCATATATTTATAACAATCTCAAAGTTTAATCACAGGTATATTTATCCCTTAATTTGTTCTTCTTTTAAAAAAGAGAAATTCGTGTTAAATATGTTTAAGAAACTCTGCATACAAAAGCTTCCTTTTGGTGTTTCCAAAACATATTATCATACTAAAGTCTCTGAGAAATGTTTCAGGATTTTTCTTTTAATCTCAGCATTTCCAATCCTTATTTAACCATCTAAGTCTGTTTTCTTTCTATATAAACACCCAACTAATACATCACTAGTGTTCTGCAGAATACACTTTGGATAATATAGTTATAGGTAAGAAATGTATTCTATTGCAATAATACTTCAAATTGAATTACTTTCTTTTGGTATATGAATGGCTATATTTACAAGCTGGGATTTGGGCATGGATTTACAGCCTTTTTCTCATGTTTTGGGCTCAATGGTCCACTACTATAGAGTTCTGTCTAGGTTTCTGGGTTAATACTCCAACCAAGTCCCCATCTCTATTCCAATTAATTTTGCAGGAACCCTTATATCTACAACTCCCCCCCTTCTAAAGATGTAAAATCGAAATTTGACACACTCTCAGTAAGTAATTTGGTTTTCTTGTGCATTTACCTCCAAAGTATTTATCATGACCCCGTGAATCCTTCAGACTGCTCTTCAATTCCTCTCCTTTTCCTCTGATAACTGGGTTCTCATCATCCCTTACAGTCTTGCCCACTTTGGTATGACTATTCCTAAAGATCTCAGAACAAGATGTTAAATATGCATGTTGAGATGTTTGGGCACATATTAAAAATATTCATTATGTAGAAAATACTTATCCATTTTTATTTTTTGTAGGGGAATTTTGGGGTGTGGGAGAGAGTGTATTTTTTGACCTAAGACATGTTTCTGAGATATGGGTGTATCACAGTGGAAAACTACAGACTCAGTCACATTTCTGAATCTGGGGAGAGAAGATCTGTAAAGGATTTTGATTTAGGCAAGATAATCTATATGGCAACCAGAGCCACAAGAGTGCATGAAAAGCCAGATAGAATGTGAAAGATGAAGATCTAAAATAGAAACTCATTAGCATAAAATGTGTATAGAGAACAAAAGAAAAATGAAAGATATTTTGAACATCCTTCTGATAAGTAGTAAAAAATCCAAAAATTTTATTGCCATGTAATGAAATTCAGATATTGTTTTAAAATTAAAGACTTGATCATTTATTCAACAAAATATCTGGAAAGCCATTTTATCTGCCAGGTACTACACTGGTGCTAGACTACAAAGATAAACAATACAGTTACAATCTCTGACCTCATGGAGCTGAAAATACAGCATACCCAAATATTTGGGAAAAGCCAAGACAAATAAGAAAGTATTAAGAGGGGGCATTCATTAACCTTAACAACAATGAGTCTATAATGGACCCAGGGAGATAACTTTTTATGGAACAGAGGTGGAATAAGCCATATTGAAATTGATTGAACAGTAAGGCATTTTTATTTTAGGTTATATGTATGAAGAAAAGATGTAAATATACCAAACTATGAACTTTCATTGCCTCTAGGCTGTGAGACTGCAAGTTATTATAGTTTTTTTATCTGTATTTTTCTCACATGTATTTTATAAATTCCTACAATGAAGGCATACCCTTTGCATAAAAAGAAAAATAAATAATTTATTATATTAACAAAAGAAAAAAGAAAAACTATTGAAATAAATTACTGTGTTTTAAATATAAATAAAATTGAGGTATAACATTATAGATTAATAGTTTGATAAACATAATGAGTTTAACAAGTGTATTCAAACAAATAATAACAATGAGAAAACTTGAGTAAACCCATTTTGAGGACTTCATTGTTCTGACTGGCTCCATAATGAGTTAATTAAGTGGATAATTGCAGAAACTCCACTGGTACTATGCTGACAATTCACATCTACCAAACTAAGAGCTGGTAGAAGTTTTTAAAAAGTAGTAATCAAAGCACTGATTTATGTAGTTTCCAAGTTAGCACATGCAAATGCTTTCAAAATGTAGAATAGCTTCAATTCCCACCAGTTTAGCAGCTGACATGATTATGTTCATGAATCCTCTAGGAAATTGAGGAAACAGTAATAACAACCCTAGTTAACAAGAGAAGAAAAGGACTGCCTGACTGACTGTATAAGTCTCCTATGTTAACACTGATTATAAACATCCGTGGTGGTAAACACAGCCATTGCATGAGATTGAGTTGTGAGCATTTATGGGAAAATGAGATCCGCAGCCATGATTCCATTCTATTAAAACAACTCCTCTGAGAACTATGTAAGATAATACCTTTGTTGTTCTCTCTTCCCTCTAGCAAGTGAATGGGACTATGAAATTACTATCTCCATGAGCTAAATGAGAAAGGGTTAAATTGTTAATTTTTCTTCCAATGGTATTGTACTGTTTAAAAAATATACCTTGGAAACCAGTGAGTTATTAAGTTGTTTTGTTTTGTTTTCCAGATATATTTCATAAACAAATGAAAATATTTTTGAAATATTCTCAGGTGGTCTCCCATGTCATTTAACAGAAAATAGTGTGTAATTGCTAGCCTGAAGCTCATCAACCAATTACACATTAATATGCAGCTTCTAATATATAAGACCGCAGGGGCAGTGAAATCACATATTTTAAAACTGATTACTTTGAGTTACTCAGTACACCTCTAGGTCCCTCTGACAAAAATTATTCTCCCCCAGGTCACTTCCACTAAGCCTCCATGGCCTGAGATACCACCGTGCTTAAAATATTCAGGATGATTCTTACTCCTCAACGTTTTTCAATGCAGTAGCCCAGAGATGGAGGTGAAAGAAAATAAACTGGATATAGTAAAAAGGAAGAATCATGGGAAGTGTCGTCTAGAAATCAGAGCTCTAAGAAACCATGGCGATCATCCATTCCAGGTTTTAAAGTTGACAGACAAACACCAAAACAATTTCAGTGATTTACCCAAGCACGAAGTTGGGGCCAGATCACAAGTCCTTCAGCTCTAACATTAATTGCCCTTCCAATGGGAGCACCATGACTCTAGTTGTTGAGAGAGGCAAGGTCATCAGAGAATCTCAGAAAACAACTGGTTGTTACTGGCTATTCAGGTAAGAGAGAATCCTTACTGAGAAGAAAGGAAGTTGAATTTCTCTAAATATATGCTAAGATCTCTATCCTTTATCATTATAAAGCTGCTTTCTTAATGTTCTTTAAAAGCAGAAACAGAAGACATGAAGCATCATTTTATGGCTCCAATAATAACACATTTAGGAAGTTCTGTCATTTTATGATAGACTTGCATTCATTCACTTATTAAATATCTATCAAGAGTCTACCATATGACTGGCACCAGCTGAAACACTCACCGCACATACAATAAGAGCTATGTCTTAAGGTGTCTGAATGTTACCAGTATTTATATTAAACAAAAATCTTACATAGAATGCCAAAACTAAACAAAAACAAAACAAAATGAAAAACAAGACTTAGGCGTTAAGAGAAAGCATTGAAAGTTGAAGAGAAAGCCATCAGTTAACAATGACTGCCTCTCCTACTTGGTGTGCTGTAAAAACATGAGTAGGAACCAAAAGAGCTGAGTTTTAGGGTGACCTTGTAACATACTGTCTGTGTGACCGTGGAGAAGGTACTCACCGACTTCAGCCTCACTGGTGCAATCATTTACTGCAGACTAGACTTTTTGGTCCTCCCTCATTTTCAATGCCATTTAGACTCAGAATACTGTTAGAAGTTTAAATGAATATGAAAATACGTGATTGAGTTCAACACTACAACCATCTGAACAATATTAGAACCATCCTGGCTAACGCGGTGAAACTCCGTCTCTACTAAAAAAACAAAAAACAAAAAAACTACCCGGGCGTTATGGCGGGCGCCTGTAGCCCCAGCTACTACGGAGCCTGAGGCAGGAGAATGGCGCGAACCCGGGAGGCGGAGCTTGCAGTGAGCCGAGATGGCGCCACTGCACTGCAGCCTGGGCGACAGAGCGAGGCTCTGTCTCAAAAAATAATAATAATAATAATAATTACTACCACTTTTTCTGCTAAACTTTGAAATGATTTTGATCTATTTCTAATAATTAACAAAGGTTCAACTTCTAAAAATCAGTTATAATCACCTAATACCATGTGAGAGTTTGTAGTTTCCAGGCTGACAATCTTGGGAGCCAAACAACCTCCTCCTGTAGAAGATAAAATGGAGGTCGCTCCACCTGGAAAGCAGATGGCAAAAATTCAAAGAGAAATTCAAATTATCTGCAATTTTTTTGAGTGCAGCTTCTTCTTCATGCTCTGAAGATTATTTCAAAAGGCAGACAGTTTGCACATCTATTCAATAGGCATAGATGTCCTATTGCCAGACTCTGAGGAACAATGTGAAATGTAGGTATTTTTAATGCCACTGACAATTGCATCTCAGTTTAGAAAGAATGGATTTTTAAAATTCTCAAGTGTGCAATATTTTGACTCTGATGGAGTACTGTAGTGCCTACATTTTTTTTTTCTGGCCTCAACCCTATAAATGAGGGTATTTATATAGATAACAATTCTGCCTGCCCCTCTTTAAGTAGAGAAGAAAACCTAAACTTAAATACCAAAATCACACTGTTTATTTCTTAATGTTCTAAGAATGCTGCATAGTCACCCACAGATAATCTGCTAGACTTTGGTATAGAAGTTTTAATTCAAACGCTTTGAGGTTAATCTATTATTCACCTGAGTATAGCAGATATGATAGAGCAGTGTTTCACAAGTGCGAGGCTTGCTCCACCTATATGGCAATCACCTGAGATCCCTGTTTAAATTGTAGATTCTTGGATCTCATCTAAGACCCCTAGAATCAGAATATCTTTGGTCTGGCCTAGGAACTTTTATCAAACACTCTCTACCCATAATTTTCTTGCCCACCAAAATCTGATAACTGTAAATATGGTATAAGATCTGCTGGTCTATGACTGCAGAAAAAGCGAAGGCAAGCTAGGAAAGTCAGTGAGATGGAAACTAGCATCGAGCAGTGTCATTTCAGACACCAGTGGGCTCTCGCTTTGTGGGTGAGGCTTCTGACTCATTCTCATGCTACTTATGTCTTTCCAGCCCAGGGAATCTTCTCTCAGTGAGAAGCCCCTGCTGCAGTAGGTACTCTCCAATTGCAAGGAGTAATTTTATATCATTGTGCCATTTGATTACTATAATCTCTGTAAATAGAGTTGAATCGTTTAGCCACATCCTCCAGAGATCCAAAGTATATCTTTTGGAACGTGAATGCAATTTGAAATGAAGCCACCAGATGGCCAATTTTAGAAATGATCAATGAACTTATTCCTAAGTGGACAACAGGTCCACACATTTTAAAATCTATTTTTTTATATTAAGCAACTTTGATACTTTTATACTCACAATCCATACTTTGTCACCATGTGAGTATAAACAAATATATTCATTTATTTAATATAAAATATGTATAGGGCTTTATTAGTGGCTCATAAGTGACAAGATATCCTCCAATGAGAAAGCATGTCCTATGGGCACTCAAATTACTCAGATAATATCTGAGATTCTAATTCTATTCAGTTTAAGGGTGACTGTTTTAGAAAAGTATTTTTGCTTTAAATATATTCTTAAATCTTCTAAAGGGATTATATTACAGCTTACAGAGCAGACAATGATCTAGAAACCCATTGACCCACCATATTTGCAATGAGCATAATTTAAGTTGTGTTCTAATTCAAATGACATGTTTACATAGGTTATAAGTATTTGGGCCAGAAAATGTGACTCTCTAAAATAATATGTGATTAAAAGTAATTTTTATTTTCATTTAATATTATTCACATATCTAATATGTTCAATGTATTATTATTGGCCATATTTAATATATTATAAAAATATTGATAAAGTTAATATTTAAAAACTATATAGCCAGTATCTATTCCATTGTGAATTGCAGTTAATTAGAACCTCTTGATTTTTGGTCGTCGTGAATAACAATGATCTAAATATTTTGTCATTGTGTTAATCTTGGGCAAATCACTGCACATTCCTAAGCCTCAGCTTTTTTTGTTGCTGTTATAAGTTTAAGTTGAATTATTCATATAAGCTATGTAATATAGAGCCCCAAATAAGGTAATCACTCACAAAAATGTTTGCTATTGTCATTATTACATTGTTTTTACTCTACAGGGCTTGACATATTTGGAAAAGATTTTTCTACAGTTTTCTTTGACCTAATGCAGCTTAGATAAACACAAAAAAACTAGGAATAAAAAAATCACTTGTACTTGAAGTTTTTTCTTGTAAGGATAAGCTTTTGTTCACATAATTTAGTTCATATACCTTTCTAATCACTTGCATAGGAAACACAACATTCTTGTTTGAGCTTGTTTTAAAAGACTATATGCAATTTTCAAACTCATGAACCTCTTTATTATACGTGTGATAAGGGTTAAATGTATAGTTATAATGAAACATTTAATGCTGTATTACTAAACCTATGGGTTTAGGAATATTCCTCGCTCCTAAGAATGAACCCACATAGACAGTGAAAACAAAAAAGAAAGTTTTCCCACTTTCAGACACAGGATTTTTTTCCTAAACTCTTCATCAAGTGTTCAGGGATGGCAGACTACAATCATTTTACAAGACCTTCACTTCGTTGCTTAAAATGGCAGGGTGATTTCAGAAAATGAAAAATGCTCAATATCTGTGTGGACTTTATCCCTCTAGGCTTTTTAGAATTCCATTGCTTTATATTTGTAATCTCACTGTGTTGTCTTCCTAGGATATATTTATAGTGCTAGCATGTTGCTTCTTTAAAAAGGGCACATTTAAAATCTTGTGATGAGTAAATCTAAAAGAAATGATGCCTCTCTTGGATTAAATCTTTCCTATCCTTCCTTCATATTATAGATATTTCTGACTACTATCTCTAAAGCTATACAATTTGGAAAATTGTTTTTATTACTTATTTACATTTAGCATCTACATAAAATAGACAGAACAAAATTGTTTAATTTACGTTGAATTATTGTGTAAGACAAATTTGAGAGGATTATTTTTTCATTTTGTTTTGTTTTCAACATGGAGCTGTGAGATGCCTTCTCTTATTAATACTGCCATAATGTAATTTGGTGACAGTTTTGGAAAGTTTCACCATTACACAGCAAGGCTTAAGTCCTTTCTCTGGGACAGATTGTAAACAATGTTCTCTTGCTATTTTTGATTAATATGTGTTTATTGATTACTGTGCTTTAATTAAGAACTTGCTATGTAACATCAAGTATATTATCAAAGTTCTTTCTCACGTTATCTTTTTGTAAAGAATATGACAATTTGCAGAGATTTGTTTGGAGATATTAAATTCCAGACGAGTTTTCTGGGAGATATTGTTTTAAAGCTTAAAACACAAATGATATGCAGTAGGTTATCACTATAATATTTGAAGGATTACACTTTAGGTAAGGTGTGGATTTGAACAAAACTAACAAGTTAATTAATCATAAAAATTGATAGTCTCAAACAGTAAGGTATTATAGCTGAAATTAACTTAAGATAACATACTGCCAATATGTGACCAGTATGTTTTATATAAAATCTTTTACAATGAGAGTCATTTTAAGAAAAATATGTAATTTGCAAACATCATTGTAGACATATGCATACTAAATAACGAAATACATAGGAAGCTTGGGAAAAAGAAAATACCAACAGCTTTTTTCTATTTTATTAAGCTTTCTTCTACATCTTTGATGTTGGAATAATCAGGTGGAATTAATCTATGAGAATCTGTCTCAGTCCACTTAGGCTGGTATAACAAAATGTCATAAGCTGGGAAGCTTATAAATGTCAAGAATTTATTTCTGGAGGTTGGGAGACCGATTAATGCAGATCTGTTGTCTGGTGAGGGCCTACTTTGTAGTTCAGAGAAGGTGCCTTCTCTCTATGTACTCACATGGTGGAAGGGGCAAGACATCATTCTTAACCCTTTTCATAAGGGTACTGTTCCCATTCTGAGAGCTCTGCTCTCAGGACCTAATCACCTCATCCCAAACCCACCTCCTAATATTATCACCTTGATTGTCAGGATTTCAAAGTAT